AAAAAAAAAAAAAAAAAAAAAAAAAAAAAAAAAAAAAACAGAGACCTGGGGTCTCTCATAAGTAATTGCACTGGAGGATGCTAGGTATTGGCTATAAGGAAACTACAGTGGGATCACTGAGATTTCTGGTGGAAAAAAAAAAGGGCAAGGGAGGGAATGAGCAAGAGAGAAATAGAAATATAGACTGAGATGACCTTAGGAAGAAAGAGAGAAGAGCTAAACTCACAGAATATTTAAAACCCCCCAATTCCAGTGGACAAGGGAAGACCAACAGAGCCACAGAATTCATGCCAAACAGACGGAGGCTGAGGAAGGGGTGGGTGGGTGGCTTTAGAGCTTTAGGTTCCTTTTTGGTAGAGTTTGGTAAATGGATGTTCCCTGTACCAAATTCTCCTCTATTTTGAAGTTTCACACTCCAGTATATTATATTATAGTAAAATGCATCTCTCTCTTTCTCTTCCCTTCCTATCATCTGTCTATCTATCTATCTATCTAATCTGTCACCTATCTATCATTATACAGTCATGATGGACCACATACACGACACTGGTTGGAGCAACAGGCTGTACCATGTAGCCTAGGTGTGCAGGAGGCTGTACCAGCTGGGCTGGGTAAGTACACTCTATCATGTCTCCACAACGAGGAGATCACCTAAAGATGCAGCAACGACACATTTCTCAGAATGTACCCTGTTGTTAAGTGGCACATGACTATAGTTACTTGTAGCTACCATTTAATGAAAGTCTATTATTTGTCAGGTTATTTGGCTGAAAGCCTTACAATAATCCTAAAAGGCAGTTATTAGTATTTCCATTTTCAAGACTAGAGAACTGACGCTCAGCAAAGATGAGTGTCTTGCTCTAGATTCATAGCTAGTGAAATGGCAGAGTTGGGATTGGAACCCATATGTCTTGATTTCATATTCAACTCTTTGCCCTACCTGTTTTAATGCATTGTTGACTAAATATTAAAATTCTATGTGAATGAAAGCATTCACGTTTTAAGCCATTGTATCTATACTGCAGAACTTTGAAATTACAGAAAATTTCAGAAACTTAAATTGTATAGAATCTCACCCAGTGTCCAACTGATCATTCTCAGTTGTGGTGAGCTAAGAAATCAAAGAAATGCCCTCTTGACTCCCATGAGAACAAGAGAAGAACGTGAAAAGGCATAACTTTCTTATGGAAACTGTGGAATAAGCCGAACGAACATATTTGCATTGGTGTTCATGGAAAGCAACTTTCATTTATGAAACTTAACTTACAACTTTTTTCTTCTCCATTTCCTGCTCCATTTCTTTCTTTTCTTGAGCACGAATATTTTTGCGCTGTTCTACGTATTCCAGATGTCTGACTTCTCTTTCAAAGTAGTGGTTGACACTTGACATCTGTTAGAAACAAAGGCCTATGAGAGGGTAACCCACGTGGGAGCCCCCTCTAGAAGATTTCCTGCTGCTTGTAATTAGGTAGATTACCTACCTATTCTACCTACCTAATTACCTGTGCATTACCTAACGACCATCTGCCTAATCATTATGTACTTTGAAATACTTACAATCTTTTAGGTGAATGTAATTTGGAAATTGTGCCCACAGGCCCACCACCAGAGGAGCTAGTTCAATTTGGGGGCTACTGTGCTAAGATTAGGTCCCTGCAATTTCGAGATTTCCAGGAAGGGAGAAGGGGTTTGAAGGGGATAGCTGCAAAAAACTGCAGTTTTTTAGCAAAAAGATTCAGGGATTGCTTTTTCCCATTTTCTTTCTTCTCACTCCTAATACTAAGGGAAATTTCATATCATCAAAGTTGGAAAACCCAGATGCCCTAAAGGGACTGGAAGGAGAGCTGAATTCCTGATCTCCTGGAGGGCTTAGCTTGTAAGCATAAGAATAGGAGCTGGAGAGTCAGCAGAGAACTTGGGGAAGGCAACGGGAGAGGGAAAGCTTTTTGCCTGTTAGTAACTATGCTGATATTGTTGGGACTTGAAACAGATTGCAAACTACATATTTAATGTTAGTTGTATACATATTTATGTATTTTTATTCATTGTTCTTCTTAAAACCTCATTATTAACGGTGCTTGAAACACTTGGGTGCTGGGTATGGGGCAGTGGTGTGTGCGGAGTTCGGATGTGCTGCCTGCAGTACACCAAGTTGGGGGAGGATGAAATGGGGGCGGGTGATGAAAAGATAAATAAAAACATCAACTGGGCCCTCAGGGAAGGACATCACTGAAATCAGGGTCCCACACTTGGGTTACAACCTGAAAATAACATTTTATGATTATGAATCCCCAAATTAATTCTCTCAGAGTCTGGGCTTCATTTACTTGGCTTCCCTCCCATGTCATGTTTGGCCTTTTTTCCCTAGCTTCAAACTATTTAACGTATACAACAGAAAAACGTTCTATTTTTGACTGTATGAGTCTTTTATTCTCATATAGAGCAAAAAGGCTGTCTTTTCTAATATACTTTTAAGACATGCCTTGGCAATATTTGGTCACAAAAATCCTCAAAGCCAAAGTTACTAACCTCATTAGTGGAAGGGTGACTTAATGTCCAAGGAATTTCTAATATATGCAGTGTTCCAAAATAATCAGCTACGGCTAAAAATTGCTGCTTAGCTGAAAGATTTAAAAAAAAAAAAAGGGTGAAAACTGCTGTACCGTACATCCGCCTTAGGGTGAAAAATTCAGTAAATAGAAAGCCATCTTAAGAGGTTAAACGTGAAATGTGTTTTTGTTTTGTTGTCTCCCAAAAGACCTGCTGTGATTATTTGTTGTCTCACAAAAGACCTGCTGTGATTACAATAATCTTGGCATCTTCATCAGATGCTCATGACTGGACCATATAAGCATGTAAAAGCCAGTTTTTCCAGTTGATGAAACGAAAGCTAAGACCCTGAGCCTTTGTCAGCCGCCCGGCCACCTCCAATCTTGTTTTCCTGACGTCTATATAAGGAGTGGGGCTCCTAACTGAGGTCAACCCTCTCTGTGGCTGGGCCCGCTGGGCAGATTTGAGAAGAAAGCAGGGACAACATATAGAAAGATTTTCAAAAAAAATCCTAAAGCACATTTTCACCAGACACAGTAAGGGCAAAGGGATACTGTTATCCAGATGAATTTCAAAGACAAAGCTAGGACTACAGGTTTCTTATTATAAAAACAAATTGCCTCCTTTGAGCATTTAAAATGGGTATATACACAAAGTGTTTGCGAATTTTGATTTTCTATGTATGTCTGTATTTTTTTCTTCTCATTTTCCGAAGGTCTGGTTACAATTGCTAAATGCTGGGCTGGTTGATTGGCTCACTTGCTTAGAGTATGATGCCGATAACACCAAGGTCAAGGATTCAGATCCCCGTAACAGCAGTAACACACACTCACAGAATAGAGAAAGAAACACACACACACACACACACACACACACACACACACAGAATAGAGAAAGAAAAAAATGCAATTTGAGTAAAATTGCTAAATGCTGAACTCATAATCCCTGTAGGTAGACAGAAGCAATGTTTTGTACCGAAGATGGGAAAACATACCAAGCAGTAGCCAGACTGTGATCCTCTAGACCAAGTTTCCAAATCTAATGTTTCTGAGCGAGCAACAGATAGAAAAACAATTTTGTGCCTGCATATCTATGGGCACAAAGGGAAATGTCTTCTTTTAAAAGAGGCAAATATACTGGAGTTACATAGAAAGTACTACTTGTGTAAAACAGAAAAATTGGGACAAAAGAAATAAACTACTTTTCCATAGACACATCCTTGAATTTATGCTTGCTTTGTTATACATTACTTTTTCCTCATAATTAATTCAAAGCCTAAAGTTTAAATAGATATACTACTCCTGACAGTCATTTGATCAATCTCAGGAAGAGAACTGCTTGATATTGTCCAGGGGAGAACCACAAAAGTGATGCAATATTGAAAAATGTGACTTATAATGGAAAGTTAAAGAAACAAAATGTATTCTGTCTGGAAAAGAAGCAGTAAAAGGCAGCACAAACTTAGAGGAGAAAGATGCTTCCCATGGTGTGGCTCAGAACCAGCCTCTGCTTGACAGGCTTCACGTGTCTCAGAAATCATGGTTGAGGAGGCAAAGCAGCAGGGAGGCTCAGGTGCATCCCAGATTCCAGAGCAAGAGAGAAGGGAAAGAAAGGGGAGGGGTGGGGGAGGGTAGAAAACCCCAAAACCCCAGAAAAAACACTGGAGGCTTTCCAGATGAATATCAAAATGTCCCCGAGTTACCCCCCATGACTTAGCTCATTTGGTTATAATCAACATACAAGAAAAGGTCCAGGGTTTGATACTGGTGACCATAGTTACGCAAATATTTTGTGACAGGGCTGGTTCGTGGGTTTTCTCCAGAAGGTCCCAGATATCAATGTATCCGTCTTCTCGGCCAATATAGAAAACTCCAGGCCTCGTGTGGGACCAGTGCCCTGAGGTGTACCTTTTTGGCGCACAGCATGACTGAAGGAGGGGTCCCGTCTTTAAACAAATTTTTAAAGAGACAAATGAAAAGCTTTTATTATTATCCGAGGAAAATTCACAATAACTTTCCTTCAGTACAATTTAGCTAGCTATGATCATATAACAGAAAAATTATGCCCAGAAGTCTTACTTCTTTCTGTTGAAGGTTTTTATACTTGTATAGTGACAGCTCTTGTCTTTTCTATTTGTTTTCATAAACTTTTTTTTTTTTTAGCAGCCTTTTAGGAAAAAATCAAACCTTCCAATCGAACGGTTGATGGCTCTAATAATCCAACTGCTTCTAAATCCATTACTATTTCTGCGGAGATTGGTGGACATTAGATAAATAAAAATTACAAGTTAATTTTGCTCATACCTTCATTTAACTATCGGGTATCTGCTTCCCATGGAAACAGCTCTAGTAGCCAGTAAAAGCAAATGAAAAGTCTGTCAATTCCAGCTGTGAGCTGCATGTTGAAAATCAACAGCAGACTTGGCAAATTCTCATTAAGTAACTTCAGATGGGAGCATCTGATGGCTTATAAATATATTTGGAAGAGATTTTAGACCACCAAAGCATCATGAGATCATGTTTTCTCTACCATGGGGTAATTTGCCTTCTTTGAGAGATTTTCAAAGAGAAAGAAGATCAGAGTGTGGTTTCTACCCACTGCTAGGCTCCATATAGCAACCAGTTGTGCTCATTTGTCTACTTACACCTGCAAGGACTAAAATAAACCATGTGGCTGTCCTGTGGGAAAAGAGAATGTCATAGATTCATGAACTCCTTAGAGGTGACACTTTAAACCTGCTCTCCTTGTCCACAACTCCCAGCTCCTTTGGTTTCTAACCAGGTTCTTGACCTAGGCAGTATCTTCGGACACTCTTGCCTAAATTTTCCTTTTCTTTAACTACAAAACTTGCTCGTTGTAAAAAAAAAAAAAAAAAAAAAAAAAATCAAAAAAACAGAAATACATTGGCATAAAGAAGAAATCCTTTTGTTAATGGATATTTAAGTACATAGCTTCTAATTTTTTAAATGATAAATTTTTATGTATTATTCACACACTTTTTTTTGAGTATTTGTATAAGGTAGATTTCCAGAAGTGGAACCCTTAGGTCAAGGAATATATATATTCCAGCTGTGAAATAAATATATATACATATACACACATACTCATAAATTCCAGCTTTTGATAATCTTCTCAAATTTCTCACCAAGGGACATATCAATTTACGCCCCCACTAAAAGCACTGATTTCGCTACACCCTTGCTTCACTGGGCTTTACCAGTCTTTCTAGTTTGGCAGCTTAGCTTCTTTCTGCCTGGATCCAGCCCCTCTCCTCAGCCGGACCAGACTGTAGCTGCTGCCTCCTTTTGACCCAAGTATGTCTCTGGCCAGGCTGTGATCTGCCTGATGACGGGCCCCTCAGCCTACTCACTCCTCCTTTCTGAACCTGCCAACACATTCCTGGTGCAGGAGCAAAGACAGCAGACCAGTGTTTCTCCTTGGACTTCATACAGTAATCAGCATCCCTTCTTGTATTTTAAAGGGAGGAAAAACACAAAGTCAAGCCAGCTGCCCAAAATTTATATTTCAAATAATAGACTGTTAGGTTTCAGACAGCAATTTTGTAAATGTTGTTTCCTTTCCTCAGGAAAGAAAAACAAATGCTTGTGTTTTCAGAAGGCTGAGAGGAGTCTGTTGACAAGGTGAGGCCATCTGCTGTCATTTCTCTAAAAGTGTCTCAAAGGCACTGCTGTGTCACAACAGGCTGTTGTTCCTATTGTCTTTCTCAGTAACAAAGGACCACACACCCACTCCTCCATTTTGTATGTAACTTACCATGACACCTTCTTTCCAGATGGCCACATTCCACCCCCCAATGGTGAGGATAATGTCATTGTAAAAAGGTGATCTCTGCACGGTGTGGACACATCCATCGTGGACCATGTAGAGGTTCACTGGCTTCTTTGCTGTTGGAGCACAAAAGATCATTTCATCTCTAATCACACTGTTTACATTCTGGCAATGAAGAATGGACAGACCTCCAGTGGACAGACAGGTCCCAATCAAAGAGGTCCAAGAGTGGAAAACCAGAGGTCAGTTGGTGTGAATGAATCTGTCAAGTGATGGCTTTTCCTCTTTTTATGGAAAGACCAGGGAGCTTCCTATTGTAGGTTAAATGCTGGACACAGCCCTACTTCCCCCTCCCTTGCATACCAGAGCCCCCCCTCCTCCCTGAGAGGCTGCCCCTGGCCAAGGCAGTTACCCAAGGAAAGGCACATCCCCCTTAAGACAAACAGAATGCGGGAGGGAGCAGGACACTAAGTAAACGAACAAGCACTCTGGTGCCAGGAGGGTAGCGGGTAGATTAACTTATCTACCCAGCCAGATCTTGGGCATGCTCCAAGTTATGTGAGCTGGGTGAGGGTCTGCACATAAGCCTGAAAGTAATTTACATCCCTACTTTGATCTGTTAATTATATAGCTGCTGTATGTACTCAGTGGCAGTGCAGATTTCTCAAGATTTCTCACCGACCAGCCACCATCGGTGCCTCGCATAAGTCTAATAAACCAGTGTCTCTACCTGCTGGACCTCCAGGCTATTTCTTCGGAACAGGTAAACACTACGCACATAACCTCTCAGATTCATGGCTCCCTCATTACACCTATCAAGGCCACTGTTCAGGCTCAGAGGAATACTTCATGTTCTTATTCATTTATTCACTAATTCAATCATTCAGTCAGTAAATATTTGTGGATTGCCTATATGTACCAAGCACTGTAGATGGCCGGATGAACGATGGTTAGTTAACGAACATGATCCTGCCTTCATGGAGTTTGTAGTCTAGTGGGAAAACAGATACTCAGTAAACAAAGTATGTAATTTAAGTATTGTAAAAAGTATTATGAAGGAAAAATATTATAAGAAAGAATAACAAGGGACATTCAAAATTTAGACTGAATGGTCAGAAAAGGCTTCTCTGAAGATGAGTCAGGTAGGCCTGGGTAGCAGTTCAGTATGGGGAGATCTGGGTGTGCAGGAGCATCCCAGACAGAGGGAGCAACACACACCGAAGTGCCAAGGAGAGAAGTGTTTAGTGCTGTTATACATTTGAGAAGGGCAACAGGACTGGAGTCTGGTAATCCCAGCGTGAGATGTAGGAAACGAACTGGGACTAGGAGGGTCCAGACCATTCCAGGTCCTGCAGGAAAGGAGTTTAGATTAGATCAGATTCTAAGTGTGGTGTGTTTTAATGAGCCTTTAGGCCTAGAAGTGAGATGATCTGATTGACATTTCCAAAAGATTCTCTGGCTGCTGTGGGGAGAATGGATTACAGGCAGGTAAAAGTGAAGAGGGGACACTAGAAGGCTCTTGCGGTAGCTCTGGTGAGAGAGAATGGTGGCTTGGATTAAGGTGCAATGGAGGAGAGTGGATAATAAAGAAATACTTTGGAGCTAAAATTGACAGGACTTGCAGATGGCTTGAATAGGAAGGGAGAGAGAAGAGCCAAGAATGGTAATCAGGTTCTGATAGGAGCAATTGGCTCCCGGGAGTTTCCACGTGTGGCAACTGGAAAGACTAAGGGAGGAGCAGGTACCGATGTTAAGATCAGGTGTTCCCTTTCGCCTCTGCGCTAGGCCTGGGGTCCTCCTGCTCCTCTGGTCTCTTTGTCCAGATGAGAATGGTAATCAGGTTCTGATAGGAGCAATTGGCTCCCGGGAGTTTCCACGTGTGGCAACTGGGAAGACTAAGGGAGGAGCAGGTACCGATGTTAAGATCAGGCGTTCCCTTTCGCCTCTGCGCTAGGCCTGGGGTCCTCCTGCTCCTCTGGTCTCTTTGTCCAGACAGGAGGATTCTGCTTGGGTTTCCTCTCCCCAGGACTGGCTGCAGAGCCGGATGTTCCTAATTCCTTTTTGCCCACACTGTCTAGCCCACACTGTCTGGCTGCCTTATACTAAAACCACAAACATTCTAAATTTCATCGTATCGATAGCTGTGTGAGGGCTGGGGTTCTTTCCTCCAGAAAACTAATGGGATACTAAGCAGAAAAAGACCTACTAAATCTTGTAAGAAACTTATGAATCAAGGTATTGAAGAGATTTGAACACCCATGTTCATAGCAGCATTATTTGCAATAGCCAAAAGGTGGAAGCAACTCGTGTGTCCATAAATGGATAAATGGATAAACAAAATGTGGTATACAATAGAATATTATTCAGACTTAAAAAGGAAGGAAATTCTTATACATGCTACAACATGCATGAACCTTGAGGACATTACACTAAATGAAATAAGCTATTTACAAAAAGACAAATACTGTATGATTCCATTCATAAGAGGTACCTAGAGTAGTTAAATTCATAGAAACAGAAAGTCAAATGGAGGTTGCCAGGGGCTGGGAGAAGGAGGGAATGAGCAGTTAGTGTTTAACAGGCATGGAATTTCAGTTTTGCAAAACAAAAAGTGTTCTGGAGATTGTCTGCACAGCAGTGTGAATGAACTTAACACTACAGAACTGTACACTTAAAAATGGTTAAGATAGTAAGTTTTATGCTTACATGTATTTTACCACAATTTTTAAAAGTATTTTTAAAAAAATCTTAAAAAGTAGGGCCGGCCGGTGGCGCACTGCGCTAGTGCGCCACTTGGGAAGTGTGGCGGTGCTCCCGCCGAGGGTTCGGATCCCACATACAGACCGGT